CTCTTTCTTCCCCCTCCCCATCTCTCCCCCCTCTTACTAGTCAGAGGGGGCCGGCCATTTCATTTTAGAGCCGCCGGACCGGGTGGCAGCCTCGCCTGTCCGGCGGCATTCCTCTCAATAACACTGAAGAAGGAGGAGGAGGAGCATGTGTCTGTCATGCTCCTTTGCGGTTCCCACATCCTGTGCTGGGAATTGTGGGAACCGCAGGGAGCATGACAGACACATGCTCCTCCTCCTCCTTCCTCTTCAGTGTTATTGAGCGGAATGCCGCCGGAGAGGCGAGGCTGCCACCCGGTCCGGCGGCTCTAACATGAAACGGCCGCCCCCCCCTCACAGTGTGCCACCGGACTGGCCACCCGGTGGCACCTGCAGTCCCCCCCCCAATCCAGCCCTGCCGCCGGGCCCCCTGAAGGCGGCCCTGGCGGCGGGCCCCCCTCCCGGCCGGGCCCTCGGACCGTGTCCGAAGTGCCCGACCGGTCAGTCCGCCCCTGGCAATAAGCACATCTCCCAAATACACTCACCCAACGGCTGCCCACTTCCTTAAACTAAACTTGACCAAAACTGAAATTCTGGTCTTTCCTCCCTCAAGTGTTGTTACTCCTTTGTCTGTCTCCCTCCAAGTCAACGGTGCTACCATCAGCTCCACCACGCAGGCTCGCTGCTTGGTGTTCTCTTTGACTCCGACCTCTCCTTCAAGCCTCATGTTCAATCTATCGCCAAATCCTGTCATTTCCATCTCCTACTTAACGCCAGATGCGACTATGGTGTTGGTCCATTCCACTGTCCTTTCTCGCCTTGACTACTGTAATCCGCTTCTTAGTGGTCTTACAGGCTCCCAACTAGCGCCGTTACAGTCCATTATGAATGCGGCGGCGAGGCTCATCTTCCTGTCCGCCCGCACCTCCCATGCCTTACCCTTCTGTCAGTCCCTACATTGGCTTCCTATAAAATATAGAGCTCACTTTAAAATTCTGGTTCTTGCTTTCAAATCTCTACATAATGCTGTTCCCACCTATCTATCCTCCCTTATACACAAGTATGTCCCGTCTAGGCCCTTACGATCTGCTGAAGACTTACGTCTGTCTTATGTCCGTACTCCCACCTCTGATGCTCGCCTTCAAGATTTCTCGAGGGCTGCACCGTTCCTGTGGAACTCACTTCCCTCCTCCGTTAGATGCTTACCCAGTCTCCACTCCTTCAAAAAATCATTAAAAACCCACTTCTTCATAAAAGCATATCAATTAAACTGTTAATAGCTCCTGACTGATTCCTCTTCTGCAACTGTCACTAGTATAATACTATCCTTACCTTTTTGTGTCATTTTACCCCACTCCCTCTAGCATGTAAGCTCATTGAGCAGGGCCCTCAACCCCTCTATTCCTGTGTGTCCAACTTGTCTGGTTACAACTACACGTTTGTTCGTCCACCCATTGTAAAGCGCTGCGGAATTTGACGGCGCTCTATAAATATAATAATAATAACGGCCAGACCCACACTCTCCCAAACCAAATAGCGAAAGTATTTCAAGAATACTACTCCTCCTTGTACGACCATGATCCCAAATCGAGGCGCAACCCCTCCCAAACACAGGCCAAAATAAAGGCCTTCCTAGGCCAGATCCCAATGTTCCACCCCAAAATATGCTCCAGGCCAACGTCTGCCTACTCCCTAAACCTCACAAGTCGCACCTAGATCACTACTCAACACTGACATCAAACTATTCACTAAAATCCTAGCCAACAGACTACACCCCTACCTCCCCAAACTAATTCACCCAGACCAGGTCGGATTCATCCCACACCACCAGGCGTGCGATAACACCAGAATAACTTATGACCTAATTTGGACAGCAAATCATAGAAGACAACCGACTCTCCTCCTTTCCCTAGACGCCGAAAAGGCATTCGACCGCATACTCTGGCCCTACCTGTTCGCCACCCTCGATAGAATGGGCTTCCCAGAGATCTTTGTAGAAACCATAAGAGGTACATACTCCCACCCCACAGCAAATCTCCTCATCTCAAATGCCCATCCCCCCTCCTGCACAATCCGCAATGGCACACAACAGAGCTGCTCTATCACTAGAACCCCTCCTCCAGAAAATCTGCCAGACCAAAACCATCGCAGGCATCCGAATCCGCAACGAGGAATACAAAATAGTGGCATACGCGGACGACCTACTGCTTACGCTGACAAACCCCTCCACCTCATTAAACCCACTAATAGCCCTCCTAGAAGACTACGCTAAACTATCGGGATACAAACTCAACCTCAGTAGAACTGAAGCCCTACCTATCCGCAACTCTGAAAATGAACTATCGGTTCCGATACGCGACACAGAGCATACAATACCTGGGGACCCACCTCCCAGGAGAACTACAGCTCACATACCAACTTAACTACAGCCATCTACTGGAAAAAGCCACCCAAGACCTAGACACTTGGCAAAACCTGTCCATCTCATGGCTGGGATGCCTAGCCTCGGTCAAAATGAACTTGCTCCCACGCTTCCTTTACCTCTTCCAGGCTCTACCCATACCCATATCCAGAAGGGACTTCAAAATCCTACAATCCAGAATTGACAAATTCATATGGGCAGGAAAAAAGGCTAGAATTAAACGTTCAACACTCTTTATCTTACACTCTTTATCCCACACAAGAAAAGGGGGGCCTGGGACTCACTAACTTCTGGGATTACCACCAAGCAGCCCAATTAGCACAGATTCAGAATTTACACGCACCAGCAGGGCTCAAACAATGGGTCGACATAGAACATGACCTTTTCGGAAGGGATCACCCCTCCCTGTACCTTTGGCTACCCAGACAAGATAGGCCACAGACCCCCCCACAACACCAGCACTTACCCACTCAATCCAACTATGGGATAGAACAACCAGAAAATACAACCTCATCAACACCCCATCCCCACTAACACCAATCCTCCGGAACAAACAATTCCAACCCTGGATGACCCCCCAACACTTCACGAGATACGAGGACAATGACCTGGTCCGATTCTACCACTTCTTTCGAGGGCAACACCTCATACCCTTTACTGACCTATCAATTAATACCCCACTCACCACATTTGACCATTTCCGATTCCTGCAGATCAGGAGCTACCTGACCCGTCCAAACAACCAAAAAACTGCAACCACCAGGCATACACTCTTCGAGAAAATGTGCATGAACACCCCGATCCAGCGGGGTCAGATATCTACCATATACGGCCTTTTACACCACACCAGCACCCCCAATGCCCTCTCATACACTGCAGCATGGGAAAGGGACATAGGCCCCCCGACAGAGCCATCCGACTGGCAAGACATATGGGAAGCCACGGTAGCCATCTCTATATGCGTAACACACAAAGAACAAGCATATAAAACCATGTTCCGTTGGTACACCATCCCCCTGAGACTGAAACAAATGCGCATAGCAACCTCTGACCGTTGCTGGAAGGGATGCGGCGAACAGGACACATATATACACCTATGGTGGACCTGCCCACGCATAGCTTAACTCTGGCTCGAAATGATTCAAATGGTCAATAGGGCGCTCCATAGCAACCTTCCATTAGACCCTTGGATATGGCTCTTGTCCAAACCCCATGAGACCCTTACTAGGGCCCAAAACAAACTATCGGCGTGGATCGCGTTGGCCACCCGGAGAACCATTGCCAAACACTGGGGTAGCAATACCACCCCGACAACACCAGAAATAATACGCAAAATAAACAAAACTATGGAAATGGACAAACTGTCAGCCTTAGCCCACGACACGACAAACTCATATCACAAGATCTGGGACCCATGGCTCACTAGAACCAAATTGGCACCATAACCTCCCGGGCCTACAAACTACCCCCCACGGCCAAGAACAACCCCCCTCCTTCGGTCCTCCCCTAACACATCCCCCATGTCACCACCTTCCCCATAGCCCCCTCTGCTTACCACCCACCCTTCCCTCCTCTTCTCACCCACCCCTATCCCCCCATCCTTACCCCCCCATTCTTCACCCACATCCACAAAAGACCGCTTGACATACTCGACATACCAACAGAAATACCCTATACCGTCCACAGGACAAACGACTCTCACCCACTGCTCTCCCCAACACCCTCACCCCACCCAACACAAGATACGCAACTCCCACTAGCTAACACAACAACAGGCAGCAACAATAGACCACAGGAAGCGCACATTACTAGTAGATGGAAACTGTAACCGCACTCATGAGACACATGAAAACCTCAGACACCACCAGAAACAAAAAGATACACAACCTACGTAAGCTAATCTAACCTAAACAATTTTTCTTTCTGTATCCATTACGGTTTAATGGATATATACGTTGAGTTCTAATATTAATAATATAAAGACTTTCTGGACAACATAAAGGCAACCTACCCCATGGTAGAAACCCACACCAAAGAAGAGATACAACCTCGAGCAAATACAAAATCCTCACTCCCACCCACTCAAAGATAAACTCTACTCAACCTACAACCCTACAACCTTAACCCTGAATTTGTACACCCACATGCAGATTTTTAATGCTGTATTGTAATGCTAAACATGTGATGTGTTTGTAATGCACCCCCCAACCTATTCCCCATCTTTTCTGTACCCCCACCCCCACCTATACATGATATAATATCATAATAAAGAAAAAAATTTTAAAAAAGCTAAGATTTTTGAGATTCACTGTTAAAATGGCATGAATGGGGGTTACTGTTGTGAGACTCATGAGATATCCCTGAATACAAATATGAGAATTGTAGAGCAGTAAAACATATAATGCTGGGGAGTGGTTTGGGCTCCGAGCTGAATAGCCGCTTAAGACAAGAGCTCCGCTCCATATCACCCCTGTATAGCCATTTCTGAATGGCAGGATAGCCGACAAATTGTACATTTTTGTGTCCATGTATGCCCCCAATCGCAGACACAGTTATTTTGCAGAACGCTCACCCGTCTGAAAGATTTTGCAGAGGGCAGCATTATTCTGGGTGGAGACTTTAACGCACCACTGAATCCCATCATGGATTCCTCTACCGGACACCGCTGTATAACACAGGTGAGCATCCGATCTATCTGTAAGGCCCTTAGAGACTTTGGATTGACTGACTGTTGGTGGGCACTACACCCTGACACTAAGGATTACACTCACTATTCAGCACTCCACGGATGATACTCCTGTATTGACTATTTATTCATCCAGCTGGAAGGCCTCAACCGCCGTCTAAAAGCTGACATAGGCCCCTCCACATGGTCAGACCAGGGACCAGTGCAAATTGAATTGGAATCCCCACTATTCCGACCTACTAGCTGGACAAAGCTATCCTCCTAGACCTGGATGTGGGGGGAACAAATTGACCAGGCCTTGACCCTATACTTCCAGTAGAATGAGACTGGGAATATCTCACATATCTCCGTATGGTTCTCAGCAGGCTATTATATAAAATTCTCCACTGCGTTGGCCCCTAAGTTTACCAGAGCGTAAATGCCATCAACAAGGTCAACAATTCGGGCTTGAGTCTTTAGCCGCAACAATTACGGTTCTGCTGAAACCTGGAAAGGACCCTGAACAATGTGGCAGCTACCGCGGGATCTCATTGATTAACGTAGATACTAAGCTATTTACGAATGCACTGTTCTACCGTAACTGATCAACCCAGACCAGACCGGATTCACCACGAGAATGGGAAGCTAGAGACAGCACCTTGAGGCTTTTCGCCTTGCAATGCCAGGCCAGGAAGAGGAGTGAATGCATAATACTTTTATCCACGGACGCCGAAACGGCGTTTGACCAGGTCAACTGGTCATTTATGCTGGCTACTCTGAAGACTATGGGATTTGGAGACAAAATGCTAACATGGATTGGAGCCCTCTACAGCAAACCGTCAGCAAAAGTGAGAGTCAACGGAGCCCTCACGACAGACCTATAGATCTGAAATGGAACAAGGCAGGGTTGCCCTCTGTCCCCCCTATTGTTTGTGCTGTTCCTGGGACCACTCCTCGAGGCGATATGTCACAACCTGGACATTCGGGGCTACTCATGGAATGGTGTGGAACACAAGGTGGCGGCCTATGCAGATGACCTCTTGTTTTTGTTCCAAACCCACAGGTCACACTGCCTTGCCTACTATCGAAATTTGAGACATATGGTTTGCTCTCCGGCCTCAAACTTAACCTCTCTAAGTGTGAGGTACTGAACATCACGCTGCCCGCGACGGAGTATGCTGCCCCTTGACTCACTTTTCCCATTTCACTAGTGCTATGGGAAGATGAAGAACTTAGGGATCTGGGTGACCTCGGACCCTGGTGAGATATAACAACAGAACTATATACCTCTAATGAAAACAATAACAGACAATCTCAAGCGCTGGTCATACCCGCACATTTCCTGGCATGGATGAGTGGCAGTGCTCGAGATGAACAGCCCTACCTGATTTCAAGAAATATTTCCAGGCCACAACCTTACAAAGGATCTTGGAATGGCATCTCAAAGACTCACGAAAACATTGGTTAGTCCTAGATAAGGGGGGAATAGATATTCCACTATATACGGCAGTGTGGCTGGGAGGATCAGAGGCCCTGGAGCGAGGGAACGGATTTTCCCTGTTGTCACAGACGAAGAGGACGTGGAAATCATTTCGCGAGGTGCCCCAGATCTCCCCTGTCCCCAGTCCTCTACTGCCAGTAGCTCATAACAGGAAGTTGGTAGGGGGTTTCCCCACGGCATGGCCATTCCTACAGGGAGGAGACTTTATCCCAATCTGCAGAGCATTACAGGGAGACGGGCTTTGGGAGCTGGACATGTTGCTGGAAGGGAGTACAAGCAACCCCCTGCCCTCTTTTCGCTACGCACAACTGAAGACTACTATCTTACGTTACCACATAAAGAAAAACTACACAGAGAGCTCACATGGTTTGAGGGTCTCTGCTTGGGCGGCACGGGGCTAGACAAAGCCATCTTAATACTATACCAACATCTGCTGGTCGGGGATAGACGGGAGAAAGATACCTTTCAGAAACAATAGAAAGGGGGGCGGGGCCTGACAGATGACCGGGACAGTTGCATGGTGCTGGAGCTCCTCCGGGAAAATACTCTATTGAGTCAAAACTGGACTTTATTGCACTCTTCTCTGCAAAAATCTTGTTCCTAACCCTGGGGAATACCCTGCTGACGTATTGGCACTCATCTGCCCACAGCAAACAGATACCCGTGACAGACTTACAGGCGGACTGCATTTATACTTGAGGTTGGGGAGGCGGCCAATCCCTGGCCTAGACCTGGAGCTTGTTTTGTGCCCTGTTCCCCTTTGGACCAGTGGGGGATATCCCGTTCCCCACTGGAAATTTTGAAATAGCCACCTAATCAAGAACTACAAGCCACTGGAGAACCAGAGGGTTGAGGCCTGACAATAAAATGACCACCCTATCAGGGCTTGCAGCTATGGGCACCTTACCTTCACTGTTAGGTACATCCTCATGGAGTTTGACCGCATCTGTG